GCACGCACACACACACACACGACTCTGCAGGAATGCAACATTAGACTGAAGCCTCTTGCAGCACCAACACCTACGTCCAGCACTTTTAAAACGCGAGGCTTAAACTCGGTTTCGTCAGCAGCCGAACCGACGGCCGTGAAAGCTTTTCTGAGTGTTTTTCACAGGAAAGGTCAGCTCTGTGCAGATGTAAGTGGATAATATGAATCGGGGTTTTAAAGTGTGTAAGTGTTCAACAAAAATATAAAGTCACAGCTGTGACTGAAAAAAACCAAACAAACACACTTTTGCTGCTCAAAAATCACAAAAAACTGGTGATTTAAAGACAATCGTAACAGCTGCACAGGAGGATGTTTAAAGGTTTAAAGTTTGCATTATTAGGGGCGTGGCCTCTTTGACGGACAGGTGGATAGTGACACAGGCGGCTGCTAGCTTCACCTGAACTGGAACTCTGCACCGTGTTTGGAGCCTATTGGAGCATTTTATCGACATCATGTGACCAATAATGTGGTTACCTGACATTTCTTTGATTTTACTTGGCACTAATTACCAGGTATGTGATTTGAATCACACAGGTTACCTGCTCAGTTTACAATGTTTATGGTAAAACCAAAATATTCGCCCAAGAAAGCAAAGAAACAAAGGTCCAGTGATTCTCCAGCATGTTCAATATATGTTTTCCACTCAGACACTCAGGAAAAATGCGCCTCAAAGACACAGTCGGGAAAACTACAGACAGCACGAGTCGGAAAACCAAGCTCAGGTGTAAAATAGAAACAACTAAAACTTTGGAATGCATGTCCAGGAAGACGAATGCAGAGAGTAAATCGTTTGTATCAGTCACTGTAACTCGGATAAATAAATGAGCGAGCGAGTGAATCAATCGTTCGATCGATACCTTTAATCGCTTTTCAGGCTACAACAAACCTAAGCGAGCTGAATCCACGATGCTCGGCGATCGCAGCGCTGCCGCGCGCTTCAAACTGCTTCCCATCTTCTCCATCTGTGACGGGAGGAGGACTGGAAAGCATTCGCTGCTTCATCTGATCGTCATGGCGACTGAAAGATGGCGTCTTTAGATAAACTCAAATTAAACCGTGCTCCTTTTTTGTTGGTTTTGGGGATGTGTGGGGAATGCCCTCTGGGACCTCACCTGGTTGATGTGTCAGCCACACGAACGTGAACGCGGGACAGACGGCGAGCTGGAAAACGTGACAGCGCATTATTAACTGGTGGGAAAAACACAGGAAACACACTGCTGACACTCGGATCTGCTCCCTGCAGTGCTCTGCTGACGAGTAACAACTGCGGCGTGCATCGGTTAGCACACGCGGAGTGCCACGGCGAAGAAGACGGAGCCTCCGGTCCACCTGTCGCTCAGCCTGTGGCTTCTGGGGTAACGCCATCTGCTCTCACGCCAACACTGAACACACCCACACGCAGCCTTAATCGGTTTAACTGTTTTATACATGAACACGTATCCCTGACATGGTGTAAGTTCTGTCCCACAGAGGTGCGAGGCTGCAGCGAAACCTGTGATCTGCTGCAGCAGCTTCCTGTTTTTGATGCCGGGTGCTTAAAAGAGAGACGCTCATTCAGAAAGCCTGAGTTAAGATCGCACTGAAGCTGGGACCAATCACACGGTCGTGTGAGGCGTTCGCAGCCACAGAGCATCCAAGTAAAACCAGGCGTCAGACATGAGGAGAAGACAGCGTTGGGCTGAAGTCGTGCCGCCATGCAGCCGCTGCTCTACGTGACTAACGTTTCATACGTCCCAACAATCAACACGCGCCACAGGAAACAGCGAGAGAACTGAAGAATAAATCACGGATGTGTGATGTCACGACACACACAGATCTGAGTGATTTTGGCATCAGGAGGCCGCTCTGCTCATTTCTCCCAGGATCCCCTCGCAGCTCAGCGCCGTTCCCGAGGGCGTAACACGCTCAGGAGTCATGTTTACATGTCTCTTGAGGAATGAAGTTCATCCTAAGCTGCACCAACTTCTACTCTCTTCCATTCTAGAGCCGAATCTCTCTGTGACGAACTCGCCAACATCGGAGCGCATCATTAGAGGCGGGACTCACCCACAGTTCACAAAACTGCACTCGCGATACGACATTGTTGTGATGTTGCTGGTGTAGTGGTCTCTCTGTGGCTTTTTTATTGTTTTTTGACGTGTTTGCTTCTCTGGACTGAAGAGCTCGCTGCATGATCTACACAAAGTAGGAGAACAGAAACATATTCCATCCATGTCAGAAGCAAACTACAGCTGACCTCCAGTGCCAACTAGAAACACCAGAAACTGTCAGAAAGAAATATCACATCTTATTGCTTCAGCCGGACCGGCTCTATGACACGCACACAAACACACAAACGCTGTAAACCCCATCTGCATGCATGAACAGCCTGAACGCTGTCAGCTTCACTGACGATCAGCGGCTCAGTTCACGGTGTGCAGCACGCACAGAGAGGAGCGGGTGACTCACCTGGTCGTCGTATCTGTAGGTCAGGAAGTGATCCTCTGTGGCGTCCTCCATGAAGCTGCCCTGAGGTGAGAGCGCGAACTCTGGCAGGAACACTGCAGTCTGACTCTCTGAGCACTGACAGCGCGCACACACACACACACACACACACACACACACACACACACACACACACACACACACA